CTGGACAGAAAAGGCGTCAGGGAGGAGGCAGAAGTGTCTCAAATATTCCTGGGTTCTTTTGTCTTACTCAAATTCCTCTGGTCCTGAATTCTATTATCCTCTCTGCAAACCACTACCACAGAAAGCCCATTTGAGCCAATCTATACGACGATATAGTCACCCACTTAGATTGGGGGCTCCAGGAGGGCAGACGCCTTGCCTTTGTTCACCAGTTCACTCCAGGCCATGAAACAGAATCTGGTGCATCAGTAGGCACACAAATATTTCTTGAATGATTGTATGTAAGCTGGAAGACATGGATAACTTTTTAAACTCGTCCTGGACAGTTCATAGGGCTTTATGCGCCATTAAACTATGAAAACACTTCTTTTGCCTTTTGCTATTTTCAAAGACTTAGCCATCTAAATGTCAGCGCATAAATTCCATTATAACCTACTGGCTTCATCAAGCATCCTTTTCAAAAAAGGAACAGTGTTCCCCACCTATTAGATTGTGTATGGAAATTGCTGGATGCTTTGTTCTTGCTTTCAGATACAACATCTGTCAGTAAGTTGGAGTGATTATGGACACACACAGAGTATTCGAGTGTATCTTACATGTAGGATACTTGAGTTTTGTTTGCTTTTTCTACAAATCTTAAAGGGGAAAATTTCAGACAGCTCCCTGTCTGAGGCGCTGCCTTATGCTAGTAGAGAGAAACTCAAAAGTTAGTTTATGTCCCAGAAACAGAAACAGATGGTCCTGTGACCCACTCCCCTGAGCGTAGGGATTGTTAGAAGATTTGACTTAAAAGGGGTTGACGGTCAAGGGTGAATTGCATGGCTTAGGGAAGGCATTATGCCTCAAGTCAGAAGCCACAGATCCCAGAACCAATGACAAAAGCAAAGGAAATTGACCTAAAGGATAGACCTGATAACATAAACACGCAGGTATCCTTGCACAATTCATCAAGGTCTCTCAGTAGTGCTGTTGGTTGAATCAGAATTGGATGCTCTGTGTCTTTCTGGGGTTACGGTGCTCAGGGTGTATCAGGATGGAGAAGGTGTGCAAACTCATCAGCTGTTATAATACAAACATGGGAAGTTGAAGTGTGCTGGTCAAACCCCCTTTTCTTTTAAATTAAAAAAATGTTTTATTTTATATTGGAGTATAGTTGACTTACAATATTGTGTTAGTTTCAGGTGTACAGCAAAGTGATTCATTTATACCTATACATGTATCTATTCTTTTTCAGATTCTTTTCTCATATAGGTTATTACAGAATATTGCATAGAGTTCCCTGTGCTATACAGTAGGTCCTTGTTGTTTATCTATTTTATATATAGTAGTGTGTATATGTTAATGCCAAACTCCTAATTTATCCCTCCCCACTCCCTTTTCACTTTGGTAACCATAAATTTGTTTTCTAAGTCTGTGAGTCTGTTTCTGTTTTGTAAATAAGTTCATTTGTATCATTCTTTTTAGACTCCACATATAAGTGATATCATATGATATTTGTCTTTGTCTGACTTACTTCACTTAGTATGAAAGTCTCTAAGTCCATCCTGTTGCTTCCAATGGCATTACTTCATTCTTTTTTATGGCTGAGTAATATTCCATTGTATATCTGTATCACATCTTTATCCATTCCTCTGTTGATGGACACTTAGGCTGCTTCCGTGTCTTAGCTATAGTGCTGCTATGAACATTGGGGTGCATGTCTCTTTTTGAATTATGGTTTTCTCTGGATATATGCCCAGCAGTGGGATTGAAGGATCATACAGTAGCTCTATTTTTAGTTTTTTAAGGAACCTCCATACTGTTCCATAGTGGCTGCATCAGTTTACATTCCCACCTTTTTAAAATGAGGTTCAGAGCAATGTTCGATCCAGAGACTTCCCTGCCACAGCTATTATCGACCCTTGCTCCCTCTTATGTTAGACATCTAACGTCATGACTTGTTTTAGTGTTCTAGCTTTTTCCCACTCGCTCTTCATCCCGGCTGACGTGCCTAAAGAAGAAAGCAAGCAAAGGGGTGTGTGAATGCTCCCAGGTGTGGTCACTGGTGTAGGGCAGAAGGGTTCAAAATATCAAGTTACACATAATTTTATTAGAACAAAACAAAGCAAAACCCTTCCTGTGGGGCCTGAAATTCCCTTGGTACCAACTAGATCATTATTTTTCTATCCTGTGAGAATTGAAAATTTAAATAAATTGACCATTATTTCTAGGAGAAGATGTCATAGGTCACTGCATTCTTCCATGTCGCATAGCAGCATGTTCTATCTGAGAGGGACTTAATTGACTATGGGAACCCTAGTGCCTGCGGATCTCCCTAATAAATTCAGGGAAGGCTTTCCTCTTTGCCTTCGTCTCTGCAAGTTCCAAAGGGACCAAGCCATGAGGGAGGCTGAGTCGATTTTATCATCAGACTTCTAATTCAGCCTTCTCGGCAGTGGGAAAAGTTATAAAGAGGAAACAGGACACTTCTCTCAGTTGCTAGAGCAGAGAGGGCCAGAGGGTTGTAGGCTATGGGTTGCTTCTTTTGTTTGTCAGCCCTTAACATAAGCAATTCCAGCTGAAACTGAGGAATGTTTGGACGCTTCCTGTAAAGGAATAAAAGGGTGTGATGAATTCATCAGTTTTGGAGGGCACTGTATTTAATAGGAAATAAAACCACTAGTCTTATTTGGTGGCTGAGTGCCTACCTGTACCCAGGCACTGTTTTGGCCATTGGAGATACAGTGGTGAGCAAAACGGTATTCATGGAGGTTACATTCTAATGAAGGAGGAAAGAGATAAGAAACAAACAAGCACATGTTCTTAGGCGGTAAGTGCTGGTGCAGAAAGAAGGCTGATTAAGCAAAATGGGGGGTGCAGAGTGGAAATGGGGCTGTAATTTTATATTGTCAGAGAGGCCTGGGAAGGCCTCTCTGATAAACTGACACTGAGCAGACACCTAAAAGAAGTGACGAGAGGAGCCCTGCAGGGATCTGGAGAAGCACATTCTGGGCAAAGAGAACAGCCAGTGCAAAGGGTTGCAGGGAGGAAGAGCATGCTTCAAAAGTTTGAGCTCCTAGGAGGAGGCCAGCGCAGCTGAAACTAAGCAAGCAAAAAGAGTGATAGGAGAGGGGTCACAGGCAGGTGGGCCTATTGTTAGGACCTCGTAGGCCCCAGTGAGAATTCTGCCTTTTTCCTGAGTAAGACAGAAAGCCACTGGCGAGTTTTGAGTAGTGGAGAGACATGATCTCAGTTAAAAGCCTTCCTCTGCCTACTGTGTCGAAAAGAGATACGAGTGGGAAATAAGTTCAGAGGTGATTGCGGTAATGGTGACAAGAGGTGATGGCCTGACCAGGTGGTGGTGGTGGTGAAGAGGATGCAAGATGGTCCAGTCAGATGTATTTTGAAGGTAGAATGGGTGGGATTTGTTGCTGGTGTGAAGATGAGGTGAGAAACAGGAGGAACCAGTATGACTTCAAGATTTTTCTTTTGCCTGAGCATCTAAAGAATGGAGTTGCCATGTCCTGAGACAGATCACAGGAGGAACGTACAGGGGAGGTGATTAGGAGTTGGGCATATTGAGCAATTGGAGATACAAGTCTGGAGCTCAGAGGAGAACTTTAAGCTGGTGATACAAATTTGAGAGTCATTAATATTAATGACTGCATATGGTTTTTAAAGCCATGAAACCAAATGAGATGACCAGGGAGGGGAGTTCAGACAAAGAAAAGAACTCTGAGGAACAGTCTGGGAGCACAACTCCAGCATTGCACAGGCTAGGCCAGCCAAGGAGCCTGAGAAGGAGCTGCTAGTGAAGAGGAGCAAAAAGCGAGAGAAAGTCTACCCTATGAACCACATGATGAAAGTATTTCAAAAAGAGAGGAATGATAAACTGTATCATCTTTGTCTCTTGGGATCCTGTCATTTCCATTTTATTGCATTTCGCGGCAACCAATGAGTAGTAAGGAACCAGAGATAGGAGCCATTCCTAAGTTTTGACAAATTGGAAAAACAACGAGTTCCAAAGGTGTAATCATACTGAAACGAAAACAGACAATAGCAGCAGCAAACCCCTAGAAATGTTATCCTTAGAGACACAGCATAATGTCAGCCTCTAGAGCTGGCCATCAGCTCTAGTTAATCATTTCCTCCCTCAGTCATCACCTTTAGCTTCGTAATTTTTTAAATGGGATTAAGAATATTTGTAGGTCTCATAGGGCCATGGTGGAAGTGAACAGGGTATCATAGAGCCTTTTATATATCCCAACGATTTCCATGTTGGCATTCTAGACTCTGCAAGTAAGAAAATACAGAAGTTTCTTTGTGGTGCAATTTTTATACATAAATATTTTCTTAATATTATGAGTTGTTTTCAAAATATGTGATTCTTTCATTAAATTCACAAATATTTGTGCTTTTCTACTCAGTGCCAGGCACTGAGGATTCACGGGGAAACGAGAGGCCTCCGCTCCTAAGGAGCTTCGAAGCTGAGGAAGCAAATAGTTAAAATGATCGATACTTAGAATGTACAGTAGGCCGCCAGTGCCATTAATCCTTGTGAAATAATCTGTGGACGGTCTCGTCATCCAAATAGCCCACTTATTTTTCATTTAAGAGATGCTTTGGGGTAAAGCCTTAGAATGAGCTCTGTTACCCATGTCTGTATATATTTAGCAGGTAGCTCTAACTGTATCAGTTCCCAAAATAGTGCCTGATGTTCAAGATGAGTAGCTAGGCCACATATTCCTTTTTAAAGCAATAAATGGTTATGGATTGTCCTCTGCAGTCATATCTGCACTTAAACGTGGACCATGAAATCTGCTGGACTGCACTCTGTCCCACGTGCTCCCGCGCTTCTCTGTACCAGTGATGTGCACAGAACACTGTGGGGCTGTCATCAGCTGCCTAATGATCTACCTCAAATAGGGCTGTCAACCATTTTGTTTTGTCCCAAAGAGTCCTTTGCGAATGACCCAGAGAGAAGAGGGGGACCCAAGGTGCCTCTGGCCATCAACTCCGAGATGGCGAAAACGGACGCTCCAGTCCTTGGGCTGGGAGCCAGGGGGTAAGAAAGGAGCAGTAGGGATAGAATAGGCAAACCCCGTTCATTTTCAAGTTCAAAGTTCTTTAGCTAGCAGAGTACAGAAAGAACTTTACTTTGTCAGAGGCGACAAAGCCTGTGATAATATGAAATCTCATCAAAGAGAGCTGAAGCCTGTATATTCTTGTTCAGGGACAATCAGTCAACACCACCACAGGCTCAAGCTATGACAGGAGCAGCTGGTGCTCGTGAACCACATAGTTTGCAGGGATGCTGATATACGATATACCTTGGATTTTAATCATTTTCTCCCCTCTGCTACAAGTTTGGGGATGATGGTCACTCCTTCCATTGTTATAGTCATGGGACGCAGGGAGATTTGGTTTTATTTGTTCTTAGTTCTCCGGCTGTTCTCTCTGGCATTGTGCTCTGTGATTTGGTTACTTTGTAAGTTGTATGGCCACGTGAGAGGGCTGAGATATATCTATTTTTATCGACACCATCACCATGGGCCTTAGAGTCTGGAAGACAAGTTTCAGACCTATTGCTAAGGTCAGTCTCTTGGAGGCAAGAGCCAATTTGGCACCATGGTAAAGAGGACAGGCTCCTGATTCATGAAATCCTAGGTTCAAGGTCAGAATCTGTCACTTCCACGCTATGCAGTGTTATTAGTTAACCTATCTATGCCTCAACCGCTTTATCCACAAATAGGGAGAATATTAGTACCCATCCAAGGGTGGCTGTAAGGATCAAACTGAGATTTTGGAACATGGTGGCACATAATGGCTGTTCATTAAATGGTCATTCATTAAAATTGGCTAATTCCTTAGAGCTTTGGTCTCCTCATTCTTAGAATGGTTGTGTTGATGTGACTGTTAAATAATCTGGGGGGAAATTTCAGCAGAGTGTCTGGTATAGAGTGAATGGTTATTATTATCAGTAATAATAATAACTAAGCAACAGAAACTAAAAAATTTTGAAATGGACTCCCTCATCATTGCTTATTCCCTATTACTTCGTGATGTCAACGTCTGTTCTCTTTTGATGAGATTACTCAGTTCTGACTCACCAGTGAAGCAGTGACCCTTTCTACAATAACTGTTGTTACATGAGAGTAGAGAAATCTCTTCTTTTAATCGGATTCCATATCCCAATCAGTCAACGTGATTTTACCAAACACATTATGTTCCCAGCTTGGATGGGAAAGCAGTTTTCTGCTCTAGCAGAGTTTGTAAATAACTTGGGTTACAAGGTGAAAACACGCCCATTCAATAAATTATAACTCGGTGTATAATGTGTATAAGGTGCCATGCTTGTGAGTATCCTGATAGGTGTAAACTTGAACCAGATGGGGATCCTGCCCTCAAGGGGTACAAAGTCAACCAAGAGGAGCTGAGAGAGTCCATGGATATAGAGCCTGGACTGGATACCAGGCTCTACCCCTTGCCACCATGAGACCTTAGGCAAGTTACTTAACTGCTCTGCACAGGGGCTTCTCATTTGTCAAATAGAGATGACAATAGTACCTACATCATAATGTTGATGTGAAGCTTAAATGGGTTATTGTGCATAAAGCACAGTGCCTGTTACACAATCAGACATTAGCAAACGTGAGGCGTTTCCAAATATAAAATGTAGCTGGGGATAAGACATGCATATGAATAATCATAATGCAAGAGTAGGGTGATAATTGCTATGGAGGTTCGGCAGGAGAGGTGAGATGACCTGGGCTTCATAAAGAATGTGGTATTTGAGCCAAGCTTGGGAGGCTAGGGAATCTACGAACTTGGAAAAATAGGGCAAATCATGGCAGCTTTAGAATTAGAGACAGCATGAGTAAGGGCATGGAGGTAAAGAAGGCCAAGGACGTCTGTAGGGAAGAACTTGGGAAGATAAGTTGGAAGGTGAAGGTCCTTATATGCTAGTTCAAGACATTTATATTTGTTTTATGGATAGTGTAGACAGTCATAGTGGATTTTAAGCAGGAAAATGATAAGGTAGGAGCTATGCCTCCAGGAACAGACCAGAGGAAGAATGTTCTGGGTGTTGTTATAGCCTTGTCCTGAGCTCTAGAGCTCCAGTCTCTCCTTCCTCTGGCCCATTTGCTGTAGGATAGGAGGGAGAGGAGGCTCATAGATAGACAGGGGGTGATGATGCTGAGCCTGGGCTGCAGAGGGGTTGGATGTGTCATGAACAAACACAGGAAACATAAAATAAGTGTAGATGGAAAAGGAAGCCTTTTGATGCATTGGGACATGTTGCTTTGAGGTGTTGATAAGTCCGTGGATCAACCTAGGAATAGGTGGAGGTTTGGGACCTTGGGATGCCTTCAGGTTGGAGGTACAGATGGCATAACGACTTCTCAGAATAAAACTGGAAGCCTGAAGAATGGATGGGATTGCTAAGGGAAAATGACAAAGACCTATCCTTGGGCGATCCCTATATTTAGGGGTGGCTGGAGAAAGGGAACATGGGAAGGATCCATTGGAAAGGGTAGGAGAACTAGGAGAATACAGAGTCGAATGAAGGAATGGAGGGATTTCTAGAAGGAGCATTTCATGGAGGCTGAGCAAGACTTATTTGGGAGACAGTAGGCAATAGGAATGGAGGAGAGATAAGGTTAGAGGTGGAGGGGAGAACTCAACAGTGGTGGGGAGGGACGCTTTAAAAGCCAGACAGAGGGCTCCCCTGGTGGCGCAGTGGTTAAGAATCCGCCTGCCAATGCAGGGGACACGGGTTCGAGCCCTGGTCCGGGAACACCCCACATACTGCGGAGCAACTAATCCCGTGTGCCACAACTACTGAGCCTGCGCTCCAGAGCCCATGAGCCACAACTCCTGAAGCCCGGCACCTGGAGCCTGTGCCCTGCAACAAAAGCCACCGCAATGAGAAGCCCGTGCACCGCAAGGAGGAGTAGCCCCCGCTCACCACAACTAGAGAAAGCCTGCGCACAGCAACAAAGACCCAACGCAGCCAAAAAGAAATAAATAAAATAAATAATTATTTTTTTAAAAAGCCAGGCAGAGACCTTTTGACTTATTTGGTAGAAAGCCAGAAACCTTTATGTGATCTTACAGAGATTATTTCCTGGGGACCTAGGGGATACATACCCCTCACCCTTAACGACAAAGGCTGGGTCTGAAAGGTCTTACCATTACTGATTATTGTGCCCTCTTACAGATGGAAGGTATTATTATTTGATATTGACTGTGTTGGATCTGCTGTTAAGTCCTACAAAAAAGGACAAATTTTATGGTCTGGCTCCAGTGAATAAAGGTTCAAACAAGCTGAGAATGCATTACCAAAAAAAAAAAAAAAACCCCATAAATTTATAGTAGAGCAAAACTTCAAAGTTGTGTCGTTTTCTCTATCAAAAAATCAATCATTTTCCTTGCTGGGGTGGTGGAAATAATGGAGATGGCAGTGCCCTCTTGGAACTAGATGTCTTGATGACGGGGAAAGCAAGAATAGTGAAAGAGAATGAGAACGCAAGCAAGCGAGGAGATTGCATCTATAGAGTGAGATAGTCTAGTTTGGGATTTTAGAATTGGAATCGTTCTAGGTTATGACAGGGAATGTTCATTAGAGTGTGTTACTAAAAGAGAGCGGCAGTCTTTAGGTCTAGGTGTTCTTCTTGAATAGGTTGTCCACATGAACCTTGAAGCTACTTGAGATGATGGCTGAAGCGGAGTAGAGAAAGGCTGTGGGCTGGGCTTTCAGCTGTCAGCTCCATCATGACAGTATTAACAGATCTCCTCTTATAAAACCTGGTGTACTCCACGGTAGCCTGGAAGAATTCTGTGCCCTTGGAAGGTAGTCGGTACATGTGTGGTGAAATCACACAAAAATGTTTATCAAATTTCCTGATTGTCATTAAGAGTCAGATAAATGGTGGGAGAAGTAACTAGTCTGTTGATAGATTGCCAGGGAAGATGTGGAGATTGGCTATCATGTGTCTCAAACTAGAAGGGTGTTTGTACCTGAGTAGAAGAGGAATGATCTGAGTTGGCATTGGACGTGAGGAGAGCGTGAGCTTCTGGGGAGACGAGATAACAAATGTGGAAGAATTTCCAACCTTCAATTAAAGGGGCTTCCTTGGAAATGGAATTATCTGGAAATTCCCAGGTTTGCTTTAAATCAAAGGGAGAAAGGAAGTGAGATAACAAGAGGGGAGAAAGGAAGTGAGATAACAAGAGGGGAGAAAGTATACATCAGTATAGGGATCAATAAACTAGATAGGGCTGGTAACTCGGCGGGGACTTGTGTTCTGTGTTTCACTAGGGAGTGAGAGAATTCATGAGATGGGTTAAATTAACTCATCTTATGATTCCAAATGGTGCAGAGATTTCCGGGTCAAGCACTCCAAGGATCCAGATGTCTGTCTATTGAAGGTTTGTGGAGATAATAGCTGCTGTCTGGAGCGAAGGCAGGTAAGGGCTGCCACGCCAGATGGTGTCTGTAGCCAGGTCAGCACGGAGCATACGGTTCCAGACAGCATGTGGGAAAATGCGAAAGTGTTTGGAGAAGGGTGAGTTTGACCCAGAGTCCCACACCACCTGTGTCCCCCACAGTGCTGACTTGGACAGCACCTGTACGTGGGTGCTCTTTAGGAAGTGGTTGCTGAGCCAGGGCAATTCTTTTTTTTTTTTTTTAATAAATTTATTTATTTATTTTTTGGCTGCGTTGGGGCTTCGTTGCTGTGTGCGGGCTTTCTCTAGTTGCGACGAGCGGGGGCTACTCGTCGTTGCGGTGGCTTCTCTCTGTGGTGGAGCACAGGCTCTAGGCACGCGGGCTGCAGTAATTGTGGCTCGCGGACTCAGTAGTTGTGGCTCGCGGGCTTAGCTGCTCTGCGGCATGTGGGATCTTCCCAGACCAGGGCTCGAACCCGTGTCCCCTGCATTGGCAGGTGGATTCTTAACCACTGCGCCGCCAGGGAAGTCCCCAGGGCAGTTCTTTGATTTCATCAGTTGATTGGCAGCCTAGGTTGTGAGGTTGTGAGTTATAGCACAGGTCAGTTTCAGAAGACAAAGATCCCAAGGCAGCTAGTGCAAGGTGGTTTGGGCACTTTGGGGGTGGAAAGAGCATGGGAAAGGAGATCATGGACAGAGATTCTCTAAGACACATATTGAAAAGAAAACCCTGTCGACTTTCACTAGTTCGTGAAAAGTCTGGTCCGTAGAACCACTCCCGTGATTTCCAGATTTTCCTGTTTTCACTGGGGAGTGGTGCGTAGGTGGGAGATATTTAGATATTTCTCAACAGGGGTCCTCTTGACATTCTGGACAGGTAATTTATGTGTTATGAGGACTGCCTCTTGCAGTACAGACCATTGAACGCCCACGGCCACTGTTTTGTAGCACTCTTCCATCAACTCAGAGTTCTCCCCCACAGCCTGTGCCCCTTAGGGAGGATGGTATCACCGCTGGTTGCTGTGGGATCTGGGGGAGACTCCCCCCGGGGAAAAACCTCATCCTTGTCAGAGATTTCCCTGAACCCACATTTTGAGAATAGTGGTATTCTGGAGTTTTCTTCTGTCTCAATTCAAACGAAGACTGAATTCTGGCTTCACTAGATGCAGAGGCTTGAATTTATTACTGACTCAATTTAGTGATGAAGTGACGTTTCAGTGCTAGTGCAAGTGTGGAGCTTTGTTTTATTCCCTCAGTCTGCACCTCATGTGTCTGTGGTTTGTGGCTTCTCGAATTTCCCTGCTGCCCCTAGCCCAATCCCTGGGCACCTACAGCCGTCTTTCTGGGGCTTGGTTCTGTTGACTCTCTTCATGTTCCCACCAAGTAGAGGATTTCATTTTTCCACATGACCACATATGCTGTAGACACAGGTGAAGAAAAACCGTGCCTACTTAGTATGCCTTTCCAATACTCCAGGACAGACACTAACACCGGGCACATGGGAGTGAGACAGGGAACAGGACAGCCATTGCTAAGGAGAAAGCTCCACCTGGTGCTTCTCTGGTTACTCCTTTTTTTTTTTTTTTTTTTTTTTAACATCTTTATTGGGGTATAATTGCTTTACAGTGGTGTGTTAGTTTCTGCTTTATAACAAAGTGAATCAGTTATACATATACATATGTTCCCATATCTCTCCCCTCTTTCGTCTCCCTCCCTCCCACCCTCCCTATCCCGCCCCTCCAGGCGGTCACAAAGCACCGAGCCGATATCCCTGTGCCATGCGGCTGCTTCCCACTAGCTATCTACCTTAGGTTTTGTAGTGTATATATGTCCATTAACTTCACCATGCCTGGAAATCTTTTTGATGTTTGCAACCCAAAGTCAGGCGGTAGCGGAGAGAGAGCGTGTGGACTGACAGGTGGGAGGGGTAAGGAGGGAGTGGTTGGTAAGGAGGTTTTCCTCTCCACCTCAGGCAGGGTTGCGCACGAGGTGAGCATATTAGTGTAAATGGAGGTCAGCCTCATTTCTGGACCATCAGCCAGAGGAATGCCATTCAAACAAGGTGTCTGCAGTTGGAGGAGGGCTGCTTTTGAGACTGATGCCTCCTTGGGAATCCATAGTGGCTCCCCCACTCGGCCTTCAGCATCTCCTTCCAGCCTGGCTCCTCCAGGTTTCTTTCTGTCTTCCTTTCCCGTATGTCTGACACCCATCTGCTGCCTCTCTCCACAGCCTCCTCTATCACCTCCGGCAGGTGCGTTATCACTGCATGCACCCCCTCCCCCCGACAAAACACGTCTCTTCTCTCCCTGACATAAAATGGACTTTCCCTCCACAAATCCCACCTCCCTCAGATCTCTGCTGTTGTCTCTGTCTCCCTCCACCTCACCTCATTGTTTCATTGTTTCTTAGGTTTACTTTCACCGTCACTCAAGTGTTGAAACCAACTGCTCGCTTGGATGGTGGGCAGTTTGTACATTTCACAAGTGAGCCTCACGCTGCGTATTTAAGTAGTACCTCTGTTCCATGTACTTGCTCTCTCTGACCCCACCCCAGATTTGAGGAGAGTCCTAACTCAAGGGAGGAACTCAGTTGTGCCACGTGAAGAACGAAGTCTCCTTTATCTAATATTCAAAGGCATGCGCCCCTCAGCGCACCTGATAAAGGCACAGCGAGGTGCCCTGGGGGCTTGGCTCCGCGTGGGGGTGTAGCCCCCTCACTGCTCACATGGGTCTCTGTTCCCCCGGCAGGAAGATGAAGTGGTCCTCCAGTGCATCGCCAACATTCACAAGGAACAGAGGAAGTTCTGCCTGGCAGCTGAGGGACTTGGGAATCGCCTGTGCTTCTTGGAACCCACTTCAGAAGCCAAGGTGAGGTTGACTGTCTGCCCTGCACCTTCCCGTTTGGTACCCCAAAGTCGTCTAGGGGATGGGACTGCTGGGATATGGTGGTGAGGGTGATAAGGATGGTGAGGAAGAAATCTGAAAGGACACATTTATTTTTAAAATGGGAAGCAGATCAGAACACTGTCGTTCAGTGTTCAG